TTTCCCTACTTAGAGGTGCAGCTTTCATTGTGTTTTAAATAAAGTGAACCACACTGCATTCGTCAAAGGCTAAGAAAACGCTTGTTACCACAGGCCAGATGACAGACGATCACTTGACAAACTGTTTTAACTCACCTGAGAAGCTAAACATTAAAATGAGTCAAATTATCCTATTTCTGACAGAACTGCTCATTGCTTTCTGAAGTCCTTTTGAACGTGATAAAACCACCAACTTCTTTAAAGCTTTCTCTGAAAGTCAGTTTATGTAAACAACCATTCTACAGCCGTCATCACTGTTTGGCCTCAAATGACCTTACCACTTGTACTCTGGTAGTTTAGGGTCCTATATCATTGCTATTATTTTAGAATTTCTTTCCTTTTCATCAAGGATGTCAACTGTCAAATGTACTGCATTAAAACACCAGAGCTACCAGGACGCACTATCAGTTCTTTGCTGCAATTCCATGGAAGATACAAACACTTCATCCTCTTACAGCCTATGGAAGCATTGTACCTCAGCACTGGCCTCAGGGAGGCTCACACAGAGCACTTTGAGTGCTCTAGGAATCTTCCTTTCACAGGTTTAGTGGGGAAAAAGTGAACTGAAATTAATTTCTGCACTTAAATATTAAAACCACTATAAAAACTCATTTAACAGCCTCAGGATTTATCTTTTATATAATCTTATTCATTTTAGATTCCATAACTGCTACTTTATTTTGACAAATGGCCAAACCCTTCTGGAATTGTCTTGGCATCTGTTTGAAATGTGTTTCCCACTCAGCCATTTGTATTGTACAGTCTCGAAGAGCATTCTGATTCTGTAGAAACGAGGACACTTATTTGGATGAAGGTATTTGAGATTTGCTGTGTCACACTGCAAGGACTTTTGATCAGACTGTATCTCTCTGGAAACTAATTTACATAACAGAAAAGCTTTACCTGCTCAAGTTCCTGGTTTCCTAGAATTTTCTTCATGCTTTTCAATATAAGCACATGCAGTTTTAAGTCTACTTATTCTTTAACCAATCTGCATATTCTTACATTGCTGTAAGAATAATCTTACATTACACACAGCTGTATGTTTTTTATGTGCAAAAGAAATTAAAGATCAGCATGTTCCACAGGATTCAAGGTACCTAATTCCTTAAGACACCTACACAGCACTACAGCCTGTGAGTGGGAAAGCAGCAACAATACCTCTTTCCAAACTTCTCTATTAGTGGAAGGACAGGAGAGGATGGAGAATAAAGCAGTTAGCTGCAAACAGCTAGTCTTCTGAAGTTGCAGTGACAACAGATTTGGTCTTAAACATCTTTTGTTCCATTGTGTTAAAATCAGAGTCAAATTTGAGACAGCACAGACTGATCAGTTCATCTTTGCATACATACATCTTCCTTCTCCAACAGCTGCTCTGAAATTCCTGTCAGAACTGAGGCATTGCACTACAGAATTACATTTCTACTATAGAACTATA